TTTTTATTAAAGTATAAGATATTGATATTTTAATTGGGAGAAAATTGTATTGGCCAATTAGTTCTGAGGAAACTGATAACCTTATAATATTGCATCTTCCTATCCAATTATTTGTCTTTTCTTTATCTTGGCAGCTTCATACTTTTCCTGATATGTGTCTGGTACATTCTTAAGTTTTGCCAAAATATATATTTTAAAATTTCTACTGAGTATTTTTTTCTTCCATCAGATAGTCTAACCAGCCTTTGTTTGTAGCTAGAAAAAAACATTCTTTTTTGTATATTGATTTAGTAATGGGCTATATTTCTGAATTTTCTTGTTAGTAATTTTAAAATTACTTTGATTAAACTTTCCCTTTGTATAGTCATCTTAAAATAATGATAATTTTGTATTTTTTCAATTATTATATTTATTTCATTCTCTTACTTGGGAAAGAGAGAAATAAATTATAGTTGACCCTTAAACAACACAGAGGTTGGGGGCACCCCCCTCTCCCACAGTAGAAAATCCACATATAACAATTGACTTCCCCCAAATTTAACAAAAGTCCCTCATCCATCAGTATCCAAGGGGATTAGTTCCAGAACCCCTGTGGATACCAAAATTTCAACCCTTAAGTTCTTTATATAAGACTAGAGGCCTGGGTGTAGGGAAGGTCAGGGGAGGGGGTGGAAGCTGAGGCTGGGTGGAGGTGGGCAAAGAGGGGAGGGAATGGGGGACAAAAAAAAAAAAAGACTAGAGGCCCAGGGCATGAAATTTCCCTCAGCCCAGCTTGCACCCTCTCCAATCTGGGACCCCTTGGGGGATGTCCAACTGCCAGTTTACGCCCAATCCCTGTGGGCCTAAACCAGCAGTCGGACATCCCTCTCACAATCCAGGACTGCTGGCTCCCAACCACTCGCCTGCCTGCCAGCCTGATCACCCCCTAACCACTCCCCTGCCAGCCTGATTGATGCCTAACTGCTCCCCTGCCGGCCCAATTGCCCCCAACTGCCCTCCCTCCCCTGCAGGCCCAGTCGCCCCCAACTGCCCTACCCTGCTGGCCTGGTTGCCCCTAACTGCCCTTGCCTGCTGGCCTGATCACCCACAACTGCCCTCCCCTGCCGGCTATCTTGTGGTGGCCATCTTGTGACCACATGGGGGTGGCCATCTTGTGTGAGGGCATGATGGTCAATTTGCGAATTACCTCTTTATTATATAGGATAGTGTAGATCAATGCATAAGGTCAGGGCGCCTCATATGTAGTTTCCTGAACAGTATTTTCCATCCCTAGCTAGTTGAATCCCCAGATGCTAACCCTGGAAACACAGAGAGCCAAAACTATGTTTACTGGGAAAAAAATCTGTGATAAGTACACCCACCAGATCAAACCTGTGTTGTTCAATGGTCAACTGTAATTAGAACACTAAGGTTGCTTAAAGAATGTAGAGCTTAGATGAACCTTGTAAGAATAGTAGTATTTGGACTTGGAAAGAGGGGAGGATGACTGAAATACTTCAACCTGAACTGTCCTACTTCCCGTTAATGGAAGTTAATTGATAGAACCAATTGGTGGCTCCTGATATTACATTATAGAAAATTCACATTCTAGTGATTTGGAATGTCCTGTGTTCATAGTAAGAGCTAAAGATATTATTTTCTCTATTAACATCACATCTGTCACCTGAAGACTGTCATCACCAAAATTCAATGCCTGGAGTCCCCAATTTGGGATGCGGTGAGGGGAGAGAGACTTACTTTGGTGCAAACAGCTCAATTGTGAGACATCACAGCCAGGGAACATCACAGCTGTGCTATATGCAGAAAAGGGACATGTAGTCCCACACTTACTAATCAGCACTATCTCATTATCCACCATTCATTCTGAGGGTCAACACAACCAAATACTTAAAACTCTAAATATACACTTGGATGTGAAATGTGAGTCACATTATTATTGTCAATAAATCAGTATGAACTTAAAATCTCTGAGAGTCCACAAAATTCTCAAATCTAAGCACTCAAATCCAAGACAAGAATAATATGACATGAATGAGACACCCTTCCCCTCACCCTCAACCCTCCAGCTCTCTGGTCATCATGTGAATTAAAGTGAAGTGGTTTTTGTGCTGTTGTTTTTTTTATGTTCACCAGCTTCCTTTCCTATCTTATACTGTACTACCTAAGGATTGTATATATCCTTTAAGTTTCTCCAGGGAATTGTAAACTCTTAAAGGTCAGAGTGATACCATTTTAATGAGCAAGTTATTAATAATGGGAAAGGAGCAAAGGGAAGGCCAGACATTATGGGCATGTCATTTGGGCAGCTTCACCAGGAAGCTGCAACTTTGCACTCCCTGGGGAACCACGGGCCTATTCCTTGCAAAACACTGGGGGAAGGGATCCAACAAAGGGAAGATACTATATTATACTACATCATGCCCAGTAAAGTTGGGGTGACATAGGGAAGGTACTTATCTGTCAGTCACACCTGGGAACAAAGATCATTTTGCCAGAATGAGTGTGGCCACTGCAAGCGCACAAAAACTTGGGAAGACATAATCTCCTAAACAAGGAGTTCACTCTCCGGGCTCTCTCTGTGCGCTTGGCTCTCTTGTTGCTCTGGTGCTCTTGGCTCGCTCTTAGATTCCTTGCATTTGCCCATATGGCCCATGCAATGTGGACCTCACACGCAATGGACTAATGGATTGCAGCAGGAAGCACAAGCTAAACTAGTCTGATGAGGGACTGGACTCAGCTCCAACGTGGAAAGGAAACTCTGGACACTGGCTCTGATGTTAGCTCTACTGAAGCCCCAGCTACACATCTTCTATGAGGGAAACGGACTTTGGAAACTCAGGGATTTAATTTTAGGGAAATAAAAATCACTTGTTCTCCCACGAGTCTCAGAAAATTCTTTTTCTTGGGCTATGGCAAGAATTCCACTCCCACTAGCAACCAGGGAGAGGCCCTCTTCCTTCCGTTAACAAGAGCATTTGCCTTTGGGTGTTTCTATGTCAGACCCTAGCCTACCATGTATTTGATATGCATTGAGATACCCCTGCAGAAAAGGGACATCTAGTCTCACACTTAAATAAGCACTATCTCATTATCCACCGATAAGTTTTGCATTCTCAGTGACAACTGAATGTTTTCCTTTCCAGCTTCAGTTAGTTTTTTTAAAAAATGTTTTTATGTACTTACTTTTTTACAGGAGTAGCTATGTTTTTGTTTTTAAAATACATCTTTATTGATTTCAGAGAGGAAGGAAGAGGGAGAGGGAGAGGGAGAGGGAGAGAGAGAGAGAGAGAGAGAGAGAGAGAAATGTCCATGATAAGAGAGAGTCATTGATTGGCTGCCTCCAGCACGCACCACACTGGGGGATAGAGCCTGCAACCCAGGTATGTGCCCTTGGCTGGAATCGAACCCAAGACCCTTCCATCCGCAGGCCAATGCTCTATCCACTGGGCAAAACCAGCCAGGGCAAAAAAAATGTTTTTCTTGATTTTAGAGCTCGGAAGGGAGAGGAGGAGGGAGGGAGGGAGGGAGAGAGAGAGAGAGAGAGAGAGAGAGA